TGGGGGGCCTGGGCGGCCCTGGCACGGCCTCACATGCCCCTACCTGCGCCGTTGCGGCTCTCAGGGTGACTCTGGGACAGGTACTCTCCAAACGCTCGAGCTGCCCTGAGGGTGGACAGAGAGGGCACGGTCAGAGGCCAAGGCACGACCCTCCCAAATGCCGGGCTGCAGCAAGAGCCGGGGTTCCCGTCCCCAGCCAGGCCCTCGGCGTCTGGAGGGAGGGTCGGGGGTCTCCCCAGCCGCGAGCCCACGCACCCTTGGTCCTGGTGCGCCCTGGACAGGCCTGCAGGCCGGGCGCCTGTCCGTCAGCCCGTGTAGAGGGGTCTCTAGGCTCGGCGGCCTCTGTCCCTTGCGGAACGGAGGCCGTTCCCGACCCGGAGGGTGAGCTGGCCCACCACGCGCTCGCGAGAGTAGGGCAGGGCAGGGGGCCAGGAGGAGGGAGGCGCGGTGAGAAGCCCCAGGAGGGGGCGCGGGGCGCGGAGCACTGGGAGGGCTCCGCAGTGGGAGAGGCCGGACCCCGGGAGCCCGGGAAGCGCCGCAGGGCAGGGGCGGACTCTGGCGGGGTAGGGGGTCCGGGGCGGGGTCCCGGGCAGGCGGCCCCGCGGCACTCACCGCACTTTGGCCGCCACCGAGGACATGGCCTCGCTCCTCAGCGCCCTCCTCCTGGAGGCGGCGGCGCCCATGGTCGGGGCGGCGGCGCATCCCCCGGGCCTCAGAGCGCGCCCCGCGCCCGCCGCCTCCGCCGGGGTAGCCGCGCCGCGCCGGGGGTCGCGCTCGGGCTTGGGCTCGGGGTCTCGCTCGGGCTCCGGCTCGGGCTCCGGCTCGGGCTCGGGGTCGGGCCCGGGCCCCGCATGGCCGCACCCGGCGCTCCGCGCGTGCCGCCGCACCGGGGAGAGCGCTGCCGGGACCAAGGGCCGGCCCCGCCCACCGTGACGTCAGGGCCCGGGGGGGGTTTCAGAGGGGCGGTGGCCCAGTCCATCGTGACGTCAGAGCCCGGGCAAGCTGGGAGGGGACAAGCGGACCCCGCCCACCGTGATGTCAGGGCCCTGGTGGGGTCGAGGGGCGGGGCCGGACGGCCTGGCTCGGTGCTCTCTCAGAGTCCTCCAGAGTGGGGAAACTGAGGCCAGGGGCCCCTATGTTCGCAAAGTCCTGGGCCCTCGGCCCTCTCGATCTGCTGCTCAGACCTGCAGGGGTCACAGGGCGGCCGCTTCTTCCTCCCCTTACACAAAGGGCTCCCTGTGCAGTTTGGGACTTGGAGCCTGAAGGGAAAGCCGGCTTAGAGGGCACCCAGTGTGCACAAGGCCAGAGAGAGCCAGAGGGGCCCGTCTTGGTCCTGAGGAACCACAGCTCCATGCAGACTCTGGGCACCCAACCTGCCTGGCCTGCCCTGGGAATCTCAGGCCCCAGCGGCGGGGTCCTTTGAGAACTGGGGACTGCCCAACCTCAGGGACAGCCAGGAGTGTTTCTTTGCCCCAGGGAGACATGTCCAACAGTCAGATCCACCTTTATTGAAACATCAAATGGCAGAATCAGGGCTTCCACACCTCACAGGACTTCAGGGGGGCTCACAGGGCTTCATGGGGCCCTCACGGGGCTTCAGGGGGGCTCACAGGGCTTCAGGGGGGTCCCACAGGGCTGCAGAGGGGCTCACAGGGCTGCAGGGGGCTCCCACAGGGCTGCAGAGGGGTTCACAGGGCTGCAGGGGGCTCACAGGGCTGCAGGGGGATCACAGGACTGCAGGGGGGCTCACAGGGCTGCAGGGGGGCTTGTAGAAATTTCAGGAGGATTCCCATGGCCCTGTGTGCAGGGCTGCTAGTGCAGAGAAGAGGCCCAGAGGCCCCAGACATAGCCAGGGGCCAAGGGGAAGCTGGGGGGGCTTCCAGCAGGACAAGTACAGAGGTCCCTAGGACTTGGCAGGAGCCTCAGCCTTGCGGACAGTCCCATGGAAGACACTGTATCCAGGCTCTTCAGCAGAGGCTCTACCCATCCTGGTCAGAGGAACCCTCAGACCATTTTGGGAAATCCAGGCTGGGGTGTTGAGGCTGCAGCGAGGACTCATCCTCCTGTAAGCAGACCGCATCATCCAGGTGAGGACCAGGTAGGGCCAGGGCCATAGGGAAGGAGCGGCCGGCTCAGGGCCAGGCACTGAGGCTCGGCTGAGGGCACCAGGTGGGGCCATGCCCAGCTGCTCACCGAGTCGGAGCCCTGCTTGGCCAAGGTGCTCTGGAAGTCTGCGTATGCATCCCTGGGGACGTCCAGCAGCTCCTCCTCATACTCCGTCTGGTAGTCAGATTCATCTGGTGCCGAAGGGAGGGCTGCATCAATCCCCTCCCCAGGACGGGACCATGCCCAGCACAGCCACACTCAGAGGCAGGACTGGCCACAGACGTCCACCCCCACTCCCAGGTGGGCTGAAGCCCCACACGCAGCAACCTGGTCCCAGGGTGGCCTCACATTACCACCATGGGTTCTGTCTGCCTCCAGCCTTGCCCCAGCCCAGCACTTGGTGCATCTTCCACAAGGACAAGGAGCAGGCAAACACTTCTCCCCTCCAGCCAGACACCCTCAGCACTCCAGCACCTAAGACCAGGCCTCTTCGGATAGCGGGTACGTTACCCAGAGCTCTCTCGGCCCTAGGCAGCCACAAAGGCATTTCCCGGGAGAACATGCAGTTCTGCTGTGAGGAGGCCGATGGCCCAAGGCCCAAGCGCTGGGCCCTGGATGGAGCATGGAGGGTACCAGACCAACCCTTCTGGCCCTGTGGCCCTCCCCAACAAGCAGACTTCATTCCCACCTCCCACTGGGTGGGCTGGGGTGGGAGGCAAAACGTGGCTCTACCTCAGATCTGAGGTGGGACTTGGGATGAATGAAGGGCAGAGGCTGGGTGGCCCAGGATGATCACAATTTTATTGCTGTGGGGACACACACTGCCCTGGGACAGAGGAGCGCCACCAAGCACCCCAGTTGCAGGAGCCTGGGCATGCGTGTGGGCAGGAGGGGAGGGCGTGGGCTTGTGGGGTGGGGGGTCGAGCCCAACCCAGCATCAGGAGGCCACACAGACACCAGGGCCTCATTTTGGACCTTCACTCACCATCCACCACAGCAGCCTTAGCGGGCTCAATTCGAGACACAATTTCGGCAAGGTCCGTGAAGGAGGCATTGGGACATGTGAGGACCTGGGGGTGGGGTGAGGACAGCACGTCGCCCGTGGACACCTCCCTGCCAGTCCCCAGCCTGCTACCTGTGGGAGGAGGGGCCCCACCTTCCCTGTGCCCTCTCTGCAGCCCTTAAGCAATCCCTGCCCTAGCCTTAGTTGGAGTCTTTTATCAGGGGGACGGCCTGTGCCCTGAGGAGGTGGGCGTGGCCCAATGACCTGGGTGTGGCCTGGGAAACGGTGAGCGTGTCCAGGGGAGCTGGGCGTGGCCTGGGCGCCCTCACCTCACTCGCCGGCCTCTTGCTCGGCCCCTGCTGGTCACGCAGCATCTTCTCCAGCACGCCGCTGCGGCCCCAGATGCCAAACACCATGCGCCCGTGCTGGTACCCCACTTCCTGTGCACACCCCCAGGGGCCCGTCAGGAGATGTGGAAAGTCCTCCCACTTCCTGTATTCTCAAAAGGAGGAAGCAGGAAGGGGCAGCCAACGTGTGCCCTCCCCACCCTCCGCGGCGGGTGGCCGGCACTCACGCAGATCTCATTGAACTTGCCGAAGTCCAGGGTCCGGTAGCTGTCGATGGGGGGGCGCAGGTACTCACAGTAGTCACTGCTCTTCACCACCTCCAGCTGCCGCACGCAGCACACGTAGGCCAGGCGTGTCTGAATCTCTGCCATGTTCAACACCTGCTGCCATCACAGCCGCCTTAGTCTCCTGTCCCAGCACCTCCAGGTCCCAACCTGGCCCATGGCACAGAACAGGCTCTGGGGACCCATCCTCCATCCTGGGGCCGTGGGGAGAGGGCAGCAGCACCCAGCCGAGGATCCTGGAGGTGTCTTCTGGTGAGGGGTGGAGACTTCAGGCCTGTCTAGCCTCGTTCCTCCCTTCCCCAGAGCTGGCCTCAGGGCCTGCTCAGGGATGGTGAGGGGTGGCCCTGGAACTGCTGGCCTCAGGGCCCAGGAGCAGCCCCCACTCACCTGCCACAGGACAGGTGTGGGGGGCTGCAGGGAGGAGCCGAAGGGACAGCCCAGCCCACCCAGCAGCACCCCACCTTGACTTTCGTGGCCAAGGGGTTCCAGCGTTTCCACAGCAGCCACCACCCAGACAGTGAATCCCCGTAGTTGGTGAGGTCTGTCTCATCTCGGCTGCCCACGTCAATGGCGATCACCACTTTTGCCCCCATGGACCTGGCCACATCCGCTAGGGAGAAGGCAGCCCTGGTTACCGCCTGGACTGGCACACAGAGCCAGGGGATGGGGCAGAGCCTGCCTCACCAAGCCCTGACCTGGGGGCTGTGGGGTCTTCTCGCCACCGTCATACCTTCTGGAGGCAGAAGACTCACACACCCAGTTCTGTGGGCAGCTGTGAGCCTTTCTGACTGCACGTCCCACAGGTGACAGGAGTGGCCTGGCCCCCAGCAAGCCGACACCTGCAGGCTGTTAGTTTCTGACTGTGGGCACAGATGGGGCTTAATTGCTCCCAGTTCCTCGACTTGGCCTTTGTTCTGCACGCTGCTGCGCTGACAAACAGGGCCATATGCTGCCTCTGCCTGCGTGTGTGTGTACACGCGTGTGCATGTTCTCGGCGCTCTGATGCCAGCCTGACATTTTCCCTTGGCACACTCCAAGGAAAACGTGTTCCAGCCCAGCCTTCTCAACGCGGAGGCAGCTGCAGCAGGGCCCTTCGGGTGGTGTGACCCTGGAGCCTGTGCTCCTGCGAGGTCCCCCCACGGCAGTACCTGGGAGGTTGTTGATGTAGCCCCCATCCATCAGCAGGTGTCCGTCCTTGGGGTCACAGAGAGGGGGCATGTAACCGGACAGGGACATGCTGGCACGCACGTAACGCCACAGGGAGCCTGGGGAGGGGGCCCGGAGCCGCTCATTACCCAGAGGAGGCTACTGCCAGGTCCAGGGGTCAGGGCCTTGCCTCTGCAGTCCTGGAGCTAGTGGGTCCCACCTCTCTGAGACCCCTTCCACAGAGGGAAGCGCATGGCCCAAGGGCTGAATGGCCTTCCAACTGCTGTGAGCCCCTCACTCCATGAACGGAGTAAATTTTCTTTCCCTCATCCTCCTGACTCAGGTTAGCCCCTCCCCCAAGGACTAAGGGAGCCCCTCACCCCATGACTGAGTGAATTTTCTTTCCCTCATCCTCCTGACCAGGTGAGCCCCCCGCCCCAGGACCGAGGGGGCCCCTCACCCCATGACAGAGTGAACCCCTCATCCCCCTGACCCAGGTGAGCCTTCCATCCCAGGACTGAGGGGGCCCTCATTTTGTCCTCCCACATGGTGTCCATCAGTCTGACCCCATATCACTGATTCCAGCCTTCTGAGGCCTCTGGCCCAGGTTGCATCCCTCCCATCTGTGCCCCCAGCAGGGGCATCTTGTATCCTCCATGGACAGAGCTGCCCACACGTTTGCACCCTTCGGGAGACCCCCCAGGGCTCTCCCTCTGCCCACACCTCGCACCCAAGCTGGATGCCCCTGCACGGCAGGAGTGCTCACCGTCCGTGTGGACCCGCATGGCCGAGGCTGTGATGTCGGTGGTGATAGCAAAATAGGGAATCCACAGGTCCTGCAGGTGGACAGGGCTCAGACGGGCCCCCTCCTTTCACACTCCCATCCTGTGTCTGGTGGGGCTGACCCAGGGCCAGGAGGGGACAGGTGCTACGGACTGCATGGGCTCCTGAGGGTGGGGGTGCACCTCGATCTGCCGGTCCTGGAAGACGCTGCAGATGCTGCTGTTGAAGCTGGCTCCGGAGAACATGGATGTGACGGGGTAGGTGAGGTCTAGTACGGCCTTCATCATGGACGTCATGCCCTGGGGGCACATTTGTGGTTCACAGAAGGCTCCCACACAACCCTGTGAGCTGCCACAGCACACCCATGGTGCACTGAGGGGCTCTTGTGAATGAAACGGGGGTCCAGAGCGTCCTTGGGCCCTGCCCAAGGTCCTGAGGCTTGGTGCCCTGGCTGGAGCTTCAGAGGGGGCAGAGGCTAGTAGACAAGCCAGAGCCTGAAAACCAAGACACAGCCCTGCCCTCAGTCCCTTCTTGACCTCTATGCCCCTGCTAGCCCGACCCTCACAGGCTCCGCAAGCCCCCCATGCCTGGGGCCTCCTCGGCTTTGCCTGCTCAGCTCTGGGGCAAGGCCTGGCCCAGCCTCATGGCCAGAGGGTTGACGAGGAGGAGAGCTCAGGGCGGGCTGCTGGGCACACAAGGTCCCCGGGCCAGGGGGACACAGTGGAGTGCTCTCAGGAAAGTCACAGCTGCTCAGCCCTGGCTTACATGCCACTGTGGCAATCCATCGGGGTGCCAGGGATGCCTGGCTCTTTTGAGTTCCTTCTGGGTGGGCCTGGGTGGGGCCCATCCTTCCTCAGTGAGGCGGGCAGCACTCAAGACTGACCTCGAACTAGGCTCACAATGCCCAGCGAGGGTGAAGGGGAAGGGTCTTCCCTGCTGCGGTGAGCCAGGGCTCAGGGGACGAAGGCCAGGAGGGAGGCGCTTGGAGCGTGGGCTGTGTGATGCGGGCAGGAAGAACACCTCAGCCACAGGCAGAGGCAGCCCCGGTCCTCCCCTGAGGAAGCCCCTGCCCAGCACCAGAGGGTCTCATGGAACTGAGCCAGACCCCAGCACCTGCCATTCCCTCTCCTCAGCATGAGCGGCAGGCACACAGCCCCAGCCCCACCTTGCCCTGGCCAGCTCCCAAGGCCCAGCGTTCCCAGGACGGAGGGAGGACCAGCCCAGAGAGCTCTGGCCATTTCCACACTTGGCCCCCCAGCGCCAGACCGGCAGGGAAGGGACAGGGAGAGGCCTGTCCAGTTGCTCTGAGATAGGACAGGCTCGGAGCCACCTCTGCCCATGGGGCATTCTGTCCCAGTGCTGTCCCGGAGGCCGTCTGCTGTGTGCCAGTCCCCAAGCCCTCTTTTGAGCGGCCACAATGAAGGTAACCAGGTGACTCATTTTAGGGACAGAAACATTCCTGGAACAGAATGGGGAACCGGTGTCAGGGGCCTCCGGACTCGCTGGTGGGGCTGGTGGCGGCCCCAGGCCACATGAATGCAGCACAGGCCTGCTTGGGAGCTGCTGCGGCAGAGGATGACCAATTTTCTTTCCTTAGAAAAGGAGAACATGAACGCTTCTGATCCCACTCATGGCTCCAGCCAAAGCTCGGTTTTGTTCCACAAAAGCAAGCGCAGTGCTGAGGAGGGCAGACAGTGGCCACGCCCGCTGAGGAACCAAAGCCCAGCTGCCTCCCTCTGCTCCCCTAAGGGGAGCCTATTCTCACTGCTGTCTTTGATTCTGTATTTGGTATTTTGATTCTGGAATCCATTTATCACAAGCCCAGACTCATGGCCAAAGTAGTTTACATCTCCCCTGTAACACTGAACCGCCCCCAGCTGCCCTGACATGATCTCATGCCCCCATGCCAACACCTCCCTGCCCTACCTCAACCCAGGCTGGGTGCCATGAACTGGGACAGCACCCAGCCTGCCAGGAGGACTCAATAAGCCCATCCTCAGCTGCTCACACTGCCCTGTCTGGCCTGTAGGGCAGAAACCCCTGTCTCAGACCTGGGCCTGGATCAGACGGCCACCACCAACCTCCACCATCTCAGACCTGGGTCAGACCACCCCCCACCACCAGCCTCCACCATCTCAGACATGGATCAGACCACCCCCCACCACCAGCCTCCACCATCTCAGACATGGATCAGATCACCCCCCACCACCAACCTCCACCATCTCAGACCTGAATCAGATCACCCCCCACCACCAACCTCCACCATCTCAGACCTGGATCACACCACCCCCCACCACCAACCTTCATCATCTCAGACCCGGATCACACCACCCCCCACCACCAACCTCTACCATCTCAGACCTGAATCAGATCACCCCCCACCACCAACCTCTACCATCTCAACCCAGATCAGACCACCCCCCACCACCAACCTCCACCATCTCAGACCTGGATCACACCACCCCCCATCACCAACCTCCACCATCTCAGACCCAGATCACACCACCCCCCACCACCAACCTCCACCATCTTAATCCAGATCACACCACCCTCACTACCAACCTCCACCATCTCAGACCAGGATCGGACCAACCCCCACCACCAACCTCCACCATCTCAGACCCAGATCACACCACCCCCCACCACCAACCTCCACCATCTCAGACCTGGATCGGACCACCCCCACCAACAACCTGCGTCTGCACCTTCTCTGTGCTTCCCCTTTGCCTCAGAGGGTAGCCTCCTTGAAGGCAGGGCCCTGCATAGCTACATGAAGAGGCCAATGGCCCCAGTGTCCCTCAGGCACCAGCACGGACCTGGGGGCCTTGCTCTAGTGAGGGTGGTGGGTGCCTGCTTACCTCAGCCCACTGCTTGGCCCGGATCCGCATCTGGCTGTAGTTCCGTTCCTCAGAGTACAGGGCACCCATGAAGGCCCCAATGGACGTGCCTCCCACCATGTCCACGGGGATTCCACACTCTGCCAAGGCCTTGAGAATGCCCACCTGGGCACAGCCTCTGCACCAGCCAGGGACATAGAGCGACGAGTGAGCACCAGGCCCAGGCTGTGCCCTGCAGACGCCTCAGAGGCAGCCACCTGCGAGCATCTGCTCATCCCCAGTTCCCAACTCCTCCAAGCAGAGATGCTGACTCAAAAAGGGATTCCAGGTGCAATGAGCTCAAACCTGTAATCTCAGCACTTTGGGAGGCCGAGGCAGGCAGATCACTTGAAGCTAAGAGTTCAAAGCCAGCCTGGCCAACAGGGCGAAACCCCGTCTCTACTAAAAATACAAACATTAGCTGGGCATGGTGGTGGGCACCTGTAATCCCATCTACTCAGGAGGCTGAGGCAGAAGAATTACTTGAACCTGGGAGAGGGAGGTTGTAGTGAGTCGAGATCGTACCACTGCACTCTAGCCCATGTGACAGAGTGAGACTCTGTCTCAAAATAAATAAAATCTCTCTTTCTGGAGGTACTGAGGGATGTGAGGCTGGGATGGGGAGGAGGATGTCCTGAGAGATGCCTGGCATTGGCCTTTTCTACCCACAAACACAGCTGCCTCCAGCAAGGTGTCTGAGAGGTGGTGGGAGAACTGGAGTTGAGGGGCCCTGGAAGGGAGGAGCATCATGAGGGGCACCACCCCAGGAGTCAGGTAAGCTGGGGTGGTCAGGTAGACCAGCACCCATGAGATCAGGGAGCACCCCTGAGACCAGGGAGCACAGCACCCCCAAGACCAGGCAGCCAGCACCCAGGGCCTCAAATCACTGCTGCCACTTTCATACAGAATGTCCACTACTCAACCAAAGGTTACCAGTCATATGAGGAGAAAAGCCTCATACAGGCTCTTCTTTTGGGACCATCGTGAAAAGAAAAAACAGACAACAAAAGTGGACCCAGAGTGCCCCCCGGTAAGAGACACAGACTTTTACATTGACTGTGCTTAAAGTGTGTGAGGAGCCGAGCAGACAAGGGAAGACCACCCAGCCCTCAGGAGGGAACTCGGACATGAGCCACAGCAGGGAGGCTCCTGGATACATTTGCTATGGTTTGGCTGTGTCCGCCACACATACATGTTGAATTTTAATCCCCAGTATTGGAGGAGGGACCTGGTGGGAGGTAACTGGATCATGGGGGCAGATTTGAGGTGGGAAGACTGTTTGAACGCGGGAAATCAAGGCCGCACTGAGCTGAGGTCACACCACTGCACTCCAACCTGGACTGCAGTGAGACCCTGCCTAAAGCAAGTTCTGGAAATGGACAGTGGCAATGTTTGCACAACACTGTAACAGCGTTGCCCAATGAATTATATTAATATCATTAACATATCAATACTTAATTGAATACTCAAAAACAGTTAAAATGGTAAATTTTATGTTGTATGTATTTTAACATAATAAAAAAGAACCATATGTAATACTGCTGCAAAATATTAAATACTCAGGTATAAACCTTAAAAACAAGTTCAAAGAATTAAAAACAAGAGTGTTAATTCTGGCATAAAACCAAATGGAAATTCTAGAAGTGAAAAATATAACAAATGAAAAACTCAGTGAGTAGGCTTAACAGCAGAACACAACAGCTGAAGAGAGAAATGGTAAAATATAAGATGGGTCAGAAGAAAATATTCATTGAATCATGAAGCATCAAAAGAATAGAATATGTAAAATATTGTTTTACAAAATATGTAAAAGAGATACAGAAACATGGGTTCTGGCACCAAACTCTAATTTATGTGCGATCTGAGCCACAGAAAGAAGACGGGGCGGGAAGCCGTATCTGAAGAGACGGGGTGGCATTTTTTAGAACTGATGACAGACATCAAGCCTCAGAATCAGGAAGCATTATAAATCCTAAGCATAAATCAAAAGAAAACCATTCCCATGTTGTCAAAAACCCAAGGCAAAAAAAAAAAAAAAAAAATCTTTAAGCCAGCCTGAGAAAATAAAAGACACATTACCTTCACTTTTCTGTCCTCTGAGTGGTTGTGAGAGACAGCATATATTTACTCTGTTTCTTTAGAGACAATGTCTGCTTGTCTAAATGTTAGGGAAAAAAGAATAATCTAAATAAAAGAGAGTAAAATTAAGCAAATAACAAAGATAAGAGCAGATCTTAAAGAGCCAAAAAATAAACCTACAATAGAGAAGATGGACAAAGATGAAAGCTGGCATTGGACGGGCCAATTCAATGGGCAGCCCTGGTGAGACTGACCAAGGAAATGAAAGACAGTAACCACCAAGAAACGAAGGCATCGGGAACAAAGAAGGGAACATCGGTGCAGACACTTTAGTTAAAACACTGAACAACTTCATTCCATAAATAGAAAAATTCAGATAAAATGGGCACATTTTTAGAAAAACATAACTCACCAAAATAATGTAAGAAACAGAACATCTGAGTAGTACTGGAACTCAGCACAGATTAAAGAAATTTAATCTTTTATTTATTTCTTATTTTTATGTTTAGACAAGGTCTCACTCCCACCCAGGCTGGAGTGCAGTGGCTTGATCACAGCTCACTGCAGCCTCAGCCTCCTGGGCTCAAGTGTTTCCCCTCTTGCCTCAGCCTCCCAAGTAGCTGGGACCACAGGCACACACCATCATGCCAGCTAATCTTTTCATTTTTTGTAGAGACAGAGTCTCACTATGTTGCCCACGATGGTCTGGAACTCCTGGGCTCAATAAATCCTCCCTCCTTGGCCTCCCAAAATGCTTGGATTATAGGTGTGAGCCACCATGCCTCCTGGCCTCTTGGAAGGTTTTATGTAAAATTTGTCTTATTTATTCCTTATATGCCATAAAATTCACTGGTGAAACCATCTGGACATGAAATCTTCTTTGTGGGGATTTAAAAGTTACACATTCCATTTCTGGCTGGGATCAGCAGCTCACACCTGTAATTCCAGCAGTGAGCTATGATGATACCACTGTACTCCAGTCTGGGCAACAGAATGAGACCCTGTCTCAAAAAATAAATAAATAAAAAGTAAAAATAAAAAAAATGTTTTAAACCTTTCCAATAACAGGAAGAGAAGATGAACTTCCCATTTCAACTTATGAAGCCAGCAAACAAATCTTCATACCAAAACCCAGTAAAGACATTTCAAAAAGGGACAATTTCAGTCCAGTCTTACTCAGGTTTGAATAGAATCTAGCAATATATAAACAGGATAACTTTAACACCATGACCAATTGGGTCTATCCCAGGAATACAATATTAGTTTTAATTTGAAAATCAATGTAATTAATGCATTAACAGAGTAAAGAGAAAATACAACCATCTTGATAGAGTCACAAAGACAACCATTCATGACAAAAACTCAGGAAAGTGAGAATGAAAAGGAACTTCCTCAATCTGACCAAGGGCAGCCACAAAAAGCCGATGGACAAGATCTCGCTCAGTGGTGGGCTGAACAGCTGCTCCCACGCCTGGGAATGAGGCTTGGGTGTCCCTGCCCACCATGTCTACCCATACTGCACTGGTGTTCCAACCAGCGCAATAAGGAAAAAAAGAAAGAAGCTGGGTGCAGTGGCCCACGCCTGTAATCCCAGCACTTTGGAAGGTCGAGGCGGGTGGATCACAAGCTCAGGAGTTCAGGACCAACCTGGACAAGATGGTGAAACCCCATCTCTACTAAAAATACAAAAATTAGCCGGGCATGGTTGCGGGGGGGCGTCGCCTGTAATACCAGCTACTCGGGAGGGTGCTGCAGAGAATTGCTTGAACCCAGGAGGCGGAGGTTGCAGTGGGCTGAGATCATGCCACTGCACTCCAGCCTGGGCCACGGAGTGAGACCCTGTCTCAAAACAAACAAACAAACAAATAGAATTGGTTATAACTTTTGTTTGTAATAACCAAAACCAGAAAACCAACCAAGTGACCATCAACAGGAAGGGGGAAAGCAAAGCATGGTGTATCGTGGAAAGCAGCTACTTGGCAATGCCACCACCGAGAGTCAGGGGCGCAGACAGATCCCAGACATGTTATGGCGTGTGAGCAACTCCAGACCCAACAGGTGCATAGTGGCAAACCTGAGCGAGCATGGGAAGCACAAGCAAGCCCGCAATTAGCGTCCTCCGAGGAGCGCAATGCTGTGCTGGAGGAGCACCAGGAGTGCTGTGGGAAATGCACTCAGACATCAGAGGCACTTCAGCAGAAAAGATAAACTGTAAGATGCATTCAAGAAAAAAATCTTCCAGAAAGTGGAACAAAAAGACAGAGATAAAGAATAGGCGAGAGAAAAGACTAAAAATTAGAAGATCCATCTAAGATGCCCCAAATCTGCCCATCAGAAGCTCCAGGAAGGCTGGGCATGGTGGCTCATGCCTATAATCCCAGCACTTTGGGAGGCTGAGGCAGGAGGATCCTTTGAGCCCAGGAGTTTGAGATTAGCCCGGCAACATGGTGAAACACCATCTCTCCAAAAAAAAAGAAAAAAGAACAACAACTTAGCTAGGTGTGCTGGCCTGCACCTTTCGTTCCAGCTACTCTGGAGGCTGAGATGGGAGAATTGCTTGAGCCCAGGAATTTCAGGCTGCAGAGAGCTATGATGTACCACTGCACTCCAGCCTGGGTGACAGAGTGAGACCCTGTTTAAAAAAAAAAAAGCTCCAGGAAGAGAGAACACAGAAGAGAGAGGCGGGGGGTAAACATTTTTTATTTAGAAAAATTAAAAATTCCCAGAGTTGAAGTCTGTGAGTTTCCAAATTTGAAAGGGCCCACTGGGAATCCAGTGTCAATGGATGCAAAAGGAGCCACATGCAGGCACGTCATCATGCACCTTCAGAATACCAAGAATGCAGAGTCTCAGGCTAGGCACAGTGGCTCATGCCTGTATTCTCAACACTCTGGGAGGCTAAGTGGGGAGAATTGCTTGAAGCCGGGAATTGAGGCTACAGTGAGCTTATGATTGTCAAGCTGCACTCCAACCTGGGCAACAGAGCAAGATCCTGTTTATTTTTATTTTTTATTGTTTTAAGAGAGAGAATCTCCTACAAGTTTCCAGAAGAAAAAAACAGGCCTTGTGAATAAAAATAGCACAAAATTTCTCAACAGCAATACAAAAAACTAAAAAGACAATGGAACCATGCCTTAAAATTCTCAGGGAAAATTATCTCCATCTAATTCTATACCTAGCCAAACTATCATTCAAGTATGGAAACAGAGTGAGGACATTTGCTGATATGCATGGTTTTAAAATGTTTACTTCCCCATGCATCTTCTCCTAAGGAAATTTCTAGAGCATATTCCACCAAAATTAGGAATAAGCCAATAAAGAAGAAGACATGAAATTGCAGGAAATGGAACTGAACACAGGAGAGAAACAAAGGTAGTTTCCAGGATGATGGCGATGGAAAATTCCAGCACAACATCTCAGCAGCATGTCAGAAAGCAACCAGTAGAAATAAGAGGAGGCTAGCGGGCTTTAGGGAGGATGACTCCTGAAAACTGAACAGAGATGAGTGGTATGTCTGAACATACTAAGAGGAGCTTAATGCTTGCCTCAGTGTCTTTGGGTTAATTAAAGATACCCAGAAAGATGAACAAATACAAAGATTATCAACTCCAAAGAAGAAACTTCAATCATTGTATACAACAGGCTGTGACGTAGCTGTGAGTGACACCCACACTGCTGTAATAACATAGACAGTGAGTGCTGGCTAACTAGTGATGGCACCACACTGGGATTCTGAGTGAAAAGGAGGGAGACAGATGCATAGATAGATTAGTGATTGATTGATAGTTAGGAATAGATAGATAGACTCTGACTGCATGTGTTCAAGGGGATTAAGAAGTCGACAATCTAAAACTAAGAAAACCAAAAACAGTAGAATAGGAATATGACTTAGAAATACAGACAAGCAGATAGCCCAAAACGCTTGAAGCATTTATTTCTAGGATAACTCCGCATGTGGTGCTGGAGGGAGGGCAAAGGACTGCAGTTATGTGCCTTACAGAACTGTATGGCTTCTAATTATTACCTTGATCAAAGCTACACTGTCATTAGCAAGGCTGCTGGTCTGACCTGCAAGCCAGGTCTGGGTCTGGGTTCAACTGCCCCAAGCCCCTGCACTGTCCCAGGCTCACAGAAGGTGACCTAGGTCCTGTCCCCAGCCTGGAAATCTCAGGCAAACCATCAGACTGTTCTAGGCCAACTTCCACAACTTTCAAGAGAAAGTGCAGCACCAACGAGGTGGAAAGCCCCTTAGACACAGGGTACAGTGGGCACTTTACCACCTGGACAAGGCCCAGGGGCTGATGGGGCCCTGCCCTGGGGCCAGCAGAAGCAGCCTCGAGGCCCTGGGGCTACCTCTGAACTCTTCCCTGGGTGGTGGTGCTGGCACCCCATGGGAGATAGGAGGGGCTGCCAGAGAGGCCCCACCCCTGCAGGGCAGCCCCAGCCTGGACCCCTGCCCAGGCACCCCTCAGCATCCTCTCTTCCTTTGGGAGCAGCAGTAGGAGGCTCCACCCTGCCCCTTATGCACACCTGGCTCAGGAGAGGGGCATGCACCTGTCCCACCCTCCCTGTGGCTCCAGGGTTCCATCTCCGTTCCAAGCATATTTATTCAAGTTCAGGAGAAGGTGGTCTGGTGACAACGCAGGGTAGGAGTTATCTGGGTTAAAAACCCTTAAGGAACTTAGTTTGGGCAGAGCAGATCATTCGTTATCAAGCGTGTATTAGAGTGACAGAAACTCACCACAGGCCAGGAAAGCCAGGCATGGAAAGAACAGAGGTTTCAGAGGAGACGCACACGGCCAACAAACAACCACTTCTAAGCAAAGATAGTCAAAACGAGAGACGTCTCTTTCTACTAAACCGGCCATCATGAAACCAGGGCCACGCTGGTGTCAGTGGGCATACCATGTGCACTAGGGTCTGCTCAGAGGATGGGCTGGGGTGGAGACTGGGTCTGGACAGACGGCCCGAGGGTCTCCTTGTCTTCAGGTGACTGCCCTCTGCTTGGCACCCAGCACCTCCCAGCACCTAAGGGGGCGAATGTCACCACACACACAACTGTGAGGAGTGCGTGGGAAGTGGGGGGACTTACCTTGCTCCCCCTCCCCCAAGCACCAGGGCGATGGCATTGCCCGTCAGCACCCTCGCCAGGCGGGAGAAGTCTGAGTGCCGGTCCGGGGGCCGCTGGAAGATGCGCTTGTACATCTCCACCTGGGGGAACAGCCGTGAGGCAGGGCTGGTGCAGGACCCCACCTTCAGCCCAGACCTCACATTCTGACTTCACTGGGAGGAGTTTCCTCCACTTCTGACCCAAACTGACCCCAAATCCTCTCCAGCATGCAGCAGGCCCTGCCTGATAGGACTGGCCAGCACCTCAGAACTTGGGCCAGGCCCCAGAGACAGCTCAGCTACCGGGGGGAGGACACTGGCAGAGGGCACGTGGGCCACCGAGTGGGCCCAGGTGGGGGCCAGAGAGCACCTTTAGAGTTGTCCTCACGGGAGTCCCCCAATTCTGCAGCA